AAAGGTAATGTAAAAAGGTTCTAACTGTGGAAATAACTGTTGTTTACCTGCTCATTTAAATGTTAATATACTGATCAGATACATTGACATTAGCTGGTATCATTATAGTTGAATCAAATATTTACGCTAACTGCAGAAAACACAATCTTCTCTCCTCATTAAATCTGACTGAAGGAACATAGGAGGAACATATTTCTAAATACTAGAATTATTGGAGATTTTAGAATATGTTTAAACTTTCTTCCAATTCAATGTTAAATGTTGTATTTGGCTTCCTTTTGAAATTAAATAGAAGGACCAAGCATTCTGTGCTTCCTTCAGTAAACTGCTAATAATAGTGTCCTGAATCTTTGGCATGTTCTTCTTAACAGAACTTGATTGATATTTTTTGTGATGGTGAACAAAGAAGCAGTGGATTTAAGGTCTGCCATTTAACCCAAAATGTTATCACATCATTTCAAACACTGTAAAAACTTTTGTGTCAAGATTTGGTTGTGGTTTGAGGACCCAAATGCAGAGGCAGGGAGGCAGAGGTGAGTTTCTTGTGGATTTAATAAAAGGTAAACAGACAGCTGAGGCAGGAATCCAAATATCCAGAAATCAAACATGGAAAAAAGTCAAACAAACCAGAAACCATGGAGACATCTCGACGAGGAAGACACAGTGAGACGGAGTTGGAGGAAGTTTGACGAGGAACCAGCATTGAGGAACTACACAAAGAGTGTATTTTGGGGTACTTAAGAGAGGACTAACCAGCAGATTGTGAGCAGGTGTGAACAGAGCAGACTGGAAAGGAGTTAGGGAAAAAGGAGAACACAAGAGGGCAGCAGAGGGCTACAAATAAAAACCTGAAAACTGAAATATAACCAGAAAACACAACAGAATAAGAATAAACCAATAAAACTAGAAAACATGGAGCAAAGTAAAACAGAATACTCAAAAGAAAACATAACAGAACCAAGACTGTGGCATAATGATCAGGTTTCAGCTGTAATTGTAGTTGACCTGGTTGTTGACCACAAATGGAACTCATTTGATTTGAGATTAGAAAGATTAAACATCAGAAAAGCTGCATAAACTTTTACTTCATTATTGGAATGATTGCAAAGTAAGCTACAGCAAAGTGTTATTAATTATTATTAAAGCTAAAGTCAGCGCAGGAACTCACACTTCCAATATATGCTATTTATCCAAGTGGACTCTTTTAACTACTTTATTGTGGTTTTATGCAAATTACTATTTGAAATTTTGAGGAATGGAATTGCTTGCTGAGATGCTGAGAAAAAATTTACATAATTCATCTGATTTAAACAGAGTGAAGTTAAAAGATCAATATACAGACAGAACTCAGAACCAACATGATCAGTTTAAAGGAAGCTAAAGGAAAGTAGACCTTAGACCAAAGCAAGTGTAACGTATAAATCAGCAGAGAACAATGAAACCCAGATAGCTTAATGCGGAGGAGGAGTGGAGGTTGACATTGAAACCGGGTTAGTTTAATCTAAAAGAGGGAGAGCAAATCGGGGAGAATTTAGAAGAAAACGGGGCGACTACTTAACACAGAGAGAACACAAGGAGAACTGAACCAAACAAGAAATGATCTACAAACCATCAGAAAAAAAAAAACAAGAATTAGGACGAAAGTAAAATCTAATATGCACAGATTATAGAAATCCGTAAATGAGAAAGAAGCTCAACACCAAATAAAGGACTGGTTGTGGTAAGACATTAACCATAATAATAAGACACTGTGCTTAGCAGCGATTAGAATGCAAACACAGTGAAAACCAAAGTACAAACATCGGTGGATCAGAACAATCACAGCTTCAGATGGGATCACATTTTCAGATTCATAAAGTTAAACCACCTCGAATTAGTTCCCTGACTAAACTTTAATGAGAACTTTTCATTTAGATAAACCTTCAAATCTCTAAAATCCTGTTTTTAATACATTTAATATACAACAGATGAAATCTAATAGCAGTATGCTGTATACAAAAGCAGGTTTTGATAATAAAAGTTTACTATAACTCACAAGTACTCTGAGAAGCTGAAAAACCATCTTTCTGCCAACGACTCTGCCTCTGTCTGGAAAGGGCTTAGGCAGATAACAAACTACAAGCCTAAAGCCCCCCACTCCATGAACGACCGACAGTTAGCCAACGACCTGAACAACTTCTACTGTCGTTTCGACAGACAAAGGGACAGTCATGCATCCACCCACCACAACACCATCCAAACAGATCACCTCCACCTCCTCCTCCTCAGTGACAACTCTTTCCATAAAAGAGAGAGATGTAAACAAAATCTTCAAAAAACAGAACCCCCGGAAAGCTGCTGGACCAGATTCTGTCACTCCATCCACTTTGAAGCTCTGTGCTGACCAGCTGTCTCCAGTGTTCACAGACATTTTTAACACCTCACTGGCGACATGTCACGTGCCAGCCTGCTTTAAATCCTCCACCATCATCCCTGTCCCCAAGGACCACAGGACTTAATGACTTTAGACCCGTCGCCCTGACCTCTGTGGTCATGAAGTCCTTCGAGCGTCTTGTGCTGTCACACCTGAAAGAAATCACGGACCCCCTCCTGGACCCCTTCCAGTTTGCCTACAGAGCCAACCGGTCTGTAGATGACGCTGTCAACCTGGCCCTTCACCACATTCTCCAGCACCTGGACTCCGCAGGAACCTACGCCAGGATCCTGTTTGTGGACTTTAGCTCGGCCTTCAACACAATCATCCCAGCTCTGCTCCAGGAGAAGCTCTCCCAGCTGAATGTGCCTGACTCCACCTGCCGGTGGATCACAGACTTCCTATCGGACAGGAAGCAGCACGTAAAGCTGGGAACACAGTTCTCTGACTCACAGCTCATCAGCACTGGTTCCCCCCAGGGCTGTGTTCTTTCTCCTCTGCTCTTCTCCCTGTACACCAACAGCTGCACCTCCAGTCATCAGTCTGTCAAGCTCCTGAAGTTCGCAGACGACACCACTCTCATCGGACTGATCTCCGATGGTGACGAGTCCGCCTACAGGTGGGAGGCTGACCATCTGGTGACCTGGTGCAGGGAGAACAACCTGGAGCTCAACGCTCTAAAACAGTGGAGTTGGTTGTAGACTTTAGAAAGAGCGCAGCCCCAGCTACCCCCATCACCCTCTGTGACTCCACCATTGACACTGTGGAGTCTTTCCGCTTCCTGGGAACTATCATCTCTCAGGACCTAAAGTGGGAGCTGAACATCGACTCCCTCACCAAGAAAGCCCAGCAGAGGATGTACTTCCTGCGGCAGCTGAAGAAATTCAACCTGCCCAGGACAATGATGGTGCAGTTCTACTCCTCCATCATTGAGTCCATCCTCACTTCCTCCATCACCATCTGGTACGCTGGTGCCACCGCCAAGGACAAGAGCAGACTGCAGTCTGTTGTCTGATGTCTCTTTAATAGTTACTATTTATAGCAGATTAACTAAGTACTGAATGCACCAATGTTGTTTTTCAGTCCATATATTTCTAATATTTCTACTGCACTTATATTCATATGTGATTAAAGAAAAAATTTCAAGAAAGGAACAGATTCATATAATTAGTTTATAAAATATTAGTAATAAAGATACACAGTATAAGTAATAATTATTAAAACATGCAGCTAATGGAAGAAAACAGAAGAAATCTTTTGGCATCTAAAAACCAGATCTGCTGCTGTCTACCAACTAACATCAGCTGGTTTAATATACACTAAAGGCCTATAAGGAGGTTTCTATTACCAAAGTATCCTACACAGTGATACAATAAAAGCAAAGGAAGCCCTTTCACGTATTAGCTTGTCTACTCACATAAGGTAAAAAAAAGAGACTGAAATTGCAGATAAAGTCTTCCAAATAAAAGCATTAAGTGGTGCACTTAATAAAAATTTTCTCTTTGCGCATTCAGTGCAGAATACCCTCACAGACTGCACACAGACCTATCTAGAGTTCATGTTTTTGAGCTGTTGGAGATAGTGGGAGTATAACCATCTATATAAATGGGGAGAACATAAAAACTCAATTCATAAAGTTAATTAAGGAAGGTTTAAGTCAAAGGATTTAAACCCAGGCAGAGGCATAGCCAGAACATTTCTATAAGGGTGGCCAGGCAATAACCATAGTACACTCAGGGTTGGCCGAAAGCGGATAGGCGCCAGAACCTCAGGGTCAAACTATACTGTTCCAACAGGAAAATTAACGAAAACATCCATATTTTCTAAATAAAGCCAATGATTGTGGCCAATGATTATGTAAGGGTGGCCATGGCCACCCCTGGCCCCTCATCTAGTTCCGCCCCTGAACCCAGGACCTGCGGATGCTGCATTTAAAACCCATGAGATTTTTGCTGGAAGGCAAAATGACTGTCAGCAGATACAGTAGTGAGGAAGCTTAGAGCTATTGGTTGATGTGTGTGATACTACTAATAGTGGCCCTACAGTGGTCCCCCCTTTCAAATGTTGTGCAATCCTACTGAAAAAGTCATTTTCCTAGCAAACATTTGATGTTTTTATGTATAAAAAAAGAAATATCAAACATGAAATATTGCTAAGGAACGTGATTCATTTGTTAACAACTAATGAGTGTAATATTTAAAAGGAAATATATATTTTGATGTTTTTGCTTTTTTAACAAGCCTGAAATCTCCCTTCCTGACCAATATGGAGGAAAGTTCTCTCAGCGCAATGGCGCCCTCATGTGGACACTGGTGTCAATACATAGAAAACGTAGCAGCTTTCCTGTTATTTGTGTTGAACGTTACGGTAATATTAGTTTACACCACAATTAAAACCGAAGAGCTGTAATTAGTACATAGAAATTGCAACCGCATTAAACAATCGGCAAATTCCTGCAAATAATTAAATCGATACAATACCAAATAAAAAACGCGTTACAAAATTAGATGTGCTCGTTTTATTTCGGTAACTTAACGCGATAATATTAGCTAGAGTTTTAAAAGCAAACATATGCAGCTTTTATATTCGGCATCTCAGCTAAACGACTCAAATGAAGCATGAAAACCGCGCTGCTAAGTCACCGGATGTCACTGAAGGACTTCAGCAGGAAGTACGGTACTGCTGCTGTGGAAGTGAAGGGCTGCCATTTTACCGAGCTTACGGTAAGAAAACTTTACTCATGTTGAACGGTTAGCTTCCTGCTGCTCGGTCACTGCTGCTCTCTTTGAGCGCTGTTATCCGCTTCTGTTCAACCATTTGTTATTTAAGCGCCGAGTTTTAGTTTTACATATCATTTTATGCCCTTAGTGCGATGCTAGTGCTAGCATTTACCTTTAGCCGCATTAAACTGCATGATCTGTGGATCAGGAGGGGAATGATTGCTTCTGTGATGATGCAGTCCACCAAAAAGCATGTGACTTTTAATATGCATCTGCATATATACGCATATTAGGGAACTTTTTACTGTTAAAAGAGGCAAACATTTAAATACCCCAATGTAAATCTGACTGAACATCTTTATGTCATCTGTGGTAAAAGTGTTTCTCTCAGCAGGAGCCATAAATGGGGATCAAAGTGATCCAGCTCACCTCAAAGTTCCACCATGAAAACCTTCTGGCTTCCCTGCATCAGATGAGGATGCAGGGGCAGCTGTGTGACATAACGGTGCAGGTGGACTACCAAGGAGATGTGGAGGAGTTCCAGGCACACCAGCTGATCCTGGCTGCATCCAGTGGATACTTCCAGAAGATCCTCCTGGCTCAGGATGCAAACCAGGATAAGATACAGCTATCAAACATGCACTCCACGGATTTCTCAAAGTATCTAGAGTTTGTCTACACTGGAAAGATTGAGGTCGCCAGGAACAAGATTGGCGATGTTCAGGAAGTGGCCCGTTTATTGGATTGTGAGGGTCTGTCGGTGGTTTGCGGTGACGCCTTGAGTGCTGGGGTTCTGGAAAGGCCAGAGAGGAAAACCTGTGGTTCTGAAGGTGGAGGCGAATTACCTGCTGCCCAAAAGGAAGAAGAAAAGGTCAAAGCAAAGGAGCAACATCTTAAACGGCAGCTCTCCCCACAAGAGATACAAGACCTAAAAAAAAAGCTGAAGGCGAAAACGTTGCAAAGGAAAACGACAAAGACGATGAGGAAGCTGAAACTGAGGCTCGGGGGCCGTAAAGTGCCCCTGAGGCGGTTGCATGTCTCTACGAAAGATGATTCCCAGGATAAAAACCAGGCTAAGGAGTCGAGAGGCAAGGAAGAATCTGAACGAGAGAATAAAGACGTGGAGAATGAGGTGCAGGAGCATGATCAAGGCTTAGCTTCTGATGGGGTCCATGACTCAGACTTTGGAGAAGATCCACCAAATGATGATGATGATGATCAAGGTGAGTTACTAACGGAAGAGGAGGATGATGACGATGAGGGGAATGGTAAAAGGCTGTCCAAGGCCCAGTTCAGCTGTAACAAGTGCCAGCGCACGTTCCATTATGAGAAGAGCTACTTAAAGCACATCAGGTAACTTGGTGTTTTACCTGTTTTATTAGCTTTCACAGCTCCTTATGTTTTAGGTGATGATTTAGATGTGTTCTCTATCCCAGCACCTACCACGGAGTAAAAGCACACATCATCCACCGCTGTGAAACCTGCTCACAGACCTTCGCCAACAGCAGCAACCTGAAGATCCACGAGAAGCACGTCCACAGCAATGAGAGGCTTTTCTCCTGCGATTCCTGCACTAAGACCTTCAAACGGAAGAAAGACGTTGTGCGTCACAAACGACAGGTGAGGGGTTACGAAACTCAGCCTTAAAGTCCTCCTTAGAGTTGTTTTTATAAAGCTGAACAGCCCTTCTTGCGTCGCAGGTACATGAAAGGAATATGAGGCATGTCTGCTCCGAATGTGGGAAGTCCCTCAGCTCCAAAACTGCCTTGTTGCTGCACGAGAGGACGCACACGGGCCTGAAGCCATACGAGTGCACCGTCTGTAAAGCCAAGTTTACTCAGAAGTCCGCCCTCAATTTGCATCAGAGGTAGCAGGTTATAACTTCTCATTTCTTTACTGATTTCAGCCCTAAGATGCTGTTTCTGTCGATCTTTGCTTAGTAATTAAAATTTCATTTCATACAAATCTGCGGCTTGACTTTTTCCACATTTTGGCTTGTTCTAACCATGCTCTTTTATTATAAGAAAGTAAAAAAAAAAAAAAAAAAAAACAAGGGATGGACCTGTTCTTTTGGTTCAATGTGCTTAATTTTTAAAGCCAAAACCAGGCTTTGTTGGACTACTCTATAAAGCTGGGAACTCAACGCTAATCCAGACATTTTGAATCGAAAAAGCTTCCTGGATGGGAGGAAGAAAAAACAAAGTCCAGTGGTTTGATTTTTTTTTTTAACCTTTTTTTGGAATCACTATGGCCTGAATGACCAAGAATCTTCACCAGCACACACCCTTTTATGCATTTTACTGGGATTTTATACGATATAATCCACAAAGATTAGCACTGACTCCTGATGTGATGCGATTATTCAGTTTTCCAAATTTTTTTTTATTTAAGTCACCCCCCTTTACATTATGACATTCAAACAAAAACCAAGTTACTTTATAAGTCACCTAATGAGTAAACAGAGTCCAGCTATAGGTAACATGATCTTGGTATAAAGACAGACCATTAGCAGACAAACAGCAGCATGAAGATTAAATGGTAAAACATTGTAGTGGCGGTATCATGCTGAGCAGCATTATATTCCTTAGTGATGGGAGACCGGTCAGAGTTGAGGGAAGCGGGAAGCTTTATACCATGCAATCCTGGAAGGGATGGAAGTTCATCTTGTAACAGAGAAGCAACCCTAAAAATGGAGCTGTAGAATGGAAAGGCTTAGTCCAAAGCATATAAATGTGTTAGAATGGCCCAGTCAAAGTCCAGCTCTAAAAATGCATGTGAATTAGTCACAAATTGTTGTTCTTAGATACTTGATGCAATCCTCAGTTAATCAGATCTGAGGGTTTTTATTTTCATTTCATACTAACAGTGGTGTGTTTCTGTGTGTAGGACTCACACTGGAGAGAAGCCGTTTGCATGTGATCAGTGTGATGCAAAGTTCTCTCAGAAGCACATGCTGGCCTATCATAAGAGATCTCACACAGGTAAAGGTTTTTTTTTCTTTTTTTTCTGTGAGTTTTAACGAAGCCATTCGACTAAACTAACGCTCTGTTGATTCAGGAGAAAGACCTTTCATGTGCGAGTCCTGCGGTAAAAGCTTTGCATCTAAGGAGTACCTGAGGCACCATTCAAACATCCACACCGGCTCCAGGCCCTACAAGTGCGATCACTGCGGCCGAGGCTTCGCCCAGAGAAACTCTCTGAACCAACATCTAAAAATTCACACAGGTAAGGCAATTTACGCACACTTTTTATAAAAATTGTTTGCTCTGATTTATGTTTTTTTTTTTTTTTTATTAAATGAATAACATTTTTCGGAATAGGTGAGCGTCCGTACAGCTGCAAAGACTGTGACAAACATTTCACTCAGCTTAATGCACTCCAGAGGCACCAACGCATTCATACGGGAGAGAAGCCCTACATGTGTGGCCTCTGTAAACGCACCTTTACCGATAAATCCACCCTGCGCAGACACACTACGGTGAGTAGGGGTTCTCTCACAAAACAATAGAATAATCCATGTGTAAGAGGATAACACTCTATTCACGCTATTTTCATATGGCTTTTCTCAAACAGATCCATGGCTCGGATACTCCTTGGAAGAGCTACCTGGTTGTGCTGGAGGGAAACATGGAGGAGAAGAAGTCTCCCATGAAAGAAAAGACAGAAAACGGGGGAACAGAGGAGAAAAAGAGCAAAGCTAACAAAGGTGCTAGTTCTGCTGTAGCAGTGGTTCCAAATCCTAACGATGCAAATAAAACCAACACAGAACCAGTGGTGCTTGCGCCTGAGCAGGTCACTCTCCCAGCCGACTGGGCCACCCATGGAACCATTGCGCTGGTCAGCCACGGCGGGGTCGGTGCCATCACAGTTATCCACACAGAGGTTCCACCTGGGACGCAGATCCAACCCATTGTGGCCACCAGAAGCTCAGGCGCCATTTCCCTAGAAGGTTCAGCCATTGCTGTCCCATTTTCTATTCCAGTATCGGTAGCTCAGGTGTTATCCTCTGAGGCTCCTTCCAGCTCTCTGTCCGTCCCCGTTTCTGAGACCTTGTTAGCGTCGGTCTCAGGCCTCCCAACCGTCCCTGCGACGTCTCTGCAAGCCGTTTTAGATCCAGCTTCAGAGCAGAAGCCCACCTCTGAGGAGGATACATCACATCCAGATATACAGACTGTGATCGTTGGGGAGGTGCATGGGGGAAAGAAAAAGACGGATGTCGAGAATGGTGGACAGAACGAGACAACAGATGAAGCAGAAACGACCAAAGATCAAAATTTAGTGTAGAAGAAACTTTCTCTGGAAGACTGTAAACTGTGAAATTAGGGTTCACACTCTACAAAAGAAGGCATTGGTACAATGACAGATAATAGTCTGTGGGCAGACAAACATATTTGTAATATATCATGGATAAAAAAGAATGCAACAGGAAGCATTTCTATAGGAAATTAAACCAAAATGAAAAAAACTCCCATGACTGAACTTGAATATTGTGGCATGTTTAAAAAAAAAAAAAAAAAAAAGATCAACAGCCACCAGAGAACAAAAATCCCTGATTATGGCTCTCCTTTACGTGTACGTCTCTGTGTAGTAAGAGGGATTTTTTTTTTCTTGTCAATGTTCCTTTATTAAGTGTAGTTATGTTTGTTAAGTTATTATTGGCCTAGACTGATATGTAATCATTTAGGACAGCTGGGTGTTGTGAGGTGTTTGCGTTTAGTGTTTTCTAACTTTTATATCTAGCTGTGGTTCCTTCAATGTCAGAGAGGAAACTGGGAGAAGCAGAGGGCATCAGCTACTCCAGGTTTTATCATCTATATTTAATATTCAATGTTTCATTCAATATTTTAATTTTTTTTGCTTTTACTGGTATATTAGAGTGGACTATAGATATTCTTTATTTTTAATACTTCTTATTACCTCCAACTCCAAGGCAAATATTTCTTTTGCAATTTAAATGGGTCTGGAACCAAACTGGGCTCCAGTTCATTCCCAGAATTTGAAAGAAATCAACCAGTTCCTTTGATAAGCTGTGATTGGTTATCGACAGATCAAACACTAATGTTGCAGATTTTTTAATTGCTGCTAAAACCCTAATTTATCCACTGTGGGTTAATAAATGGTTATTCAAGATTGTTTTTCTTTAATGTGACATAAGAGCATTGAAACACATAAACAGTGCAGCCTCTTTGATTTATTTCAATTTTTTTTTTTTTTTTCATTATAACCAAAATGTGGTCCTGTAGAAAATGTAGCAAGCCATTATCCTGCATCCATGTTTTCTCTGCAGGTAGCTGAGACACATTTATCCACGTGCTCTAGGAGCTGTATGTACACATAAATGAGCCTGTATTTTATTTTGACCCTGTGTGGATGAAAGAAAACCAATAAAATCAAACCTGTACACCTTTTTTTTTTTACATTTATATGTAACAATTTTATGCTTCTAAAAATAGGAACATCAATGGAAAAAAAAAATGCTGAAAATAATTAAACATTTATAGCAATTACAAATACCATGTTTTAGAATATTAAACAAGATCCCCATAAACTCAGATACTACAGTATTGTACTTATCTTTATTAATTTAAACAGGCATACATTTAATATCCACAGCCTATTGTTCCACATGGATTAAAGTGAGGACAGAATTTCTGATCTGTTAAGTAAAAACTTGATGTTCCTAAATCTAATGGATGTACACAACACAATGACATGCTAAGCAACTAGCTGGGTAGAAGGCACACTACATCTAAAAACGCATTCAGGTGACTTATATACATAACCCAGATTACAGCCTCAGAAATAAATAGTAAGGGGCTCTTTATTTAAAATTAAGGAATGCTTTTTGGTACATTTAAGCTATATTTTACAGGTGCAAACACATCCTAGAGTTTTAATAAGGTAATAAAGACGTGATTACGTTTGTTCAGATACAAATATATAACAGTCAACACTTGTGCATATTGTTGCCAAGTTTCAAGAGAAGTTCCTCCATGTGGTGGAAAAAAAGTGGCAACAAATTAGGCTTTGATGCGTCATTCAGAACTGAAAACATGGATCTGATTTTTATCTGTTCCACCTAACACCACACAACAAAAGATTGTTGATAAATTACCCAAAATAAAACAGGTTCACACGCACTGGATAACAAAAAAAAAAGATCCAACTAAGAAATAAAGGTAGAAAACATGCAAAGCCTCCTGTCAGTACTAACATTAGATTGCAAACCCTCCCATGGAGGATTTCAGCTGAAAAAAGGTATGCAGCAATCCTCTAATCGAGGTTAGGCCAAAAGGATTTACATTCTGACTGGATTTGGATGAGCTTGTAATTAAAAGAAAATGTGGCGCTTCTTATAAGCAGTGGAAAAGTTTGAAAGGGACTGCAAACACTGCCCCTCCTGCTGCGATAACAGCGAGGGGAAGTGAGGAGTGCGTTGCAGTGTGCGAGTATTTGTGAAAGCATGCGTGATGAAACTGTCCCCTCTGTGCTGCATCCCCTACCCTGAGCATTCTTTCATTTCAGATCCCCTTCATCACCCTGGATGGTCTTTTTGATGCGCAGCAGAAGGGTGGTGTGCCACTGGTCCAGGCGGGAGATTGAGTCAAACTCCTTCACCTGCAAACGGGACAACATGAGTCACACCATAACTACATGGCTTTCAACAAGCACTCTCTAATCACAAATCCCATGTGTCACCTTGCATACTCAAGGTGACACATTGTGGTGGCAGCATCGTGCTGTGGGGATACTTTTGTTTCTGTAAGGGCAGGGAAGCTGGTCAAAGCAAAATAGATGGAGGCTGTGATCTAGGTTCTCCTTTTAGCTTGATCCCAGCCCTAAATATCCTGAGCTGGTTTAGATTAAAGCTTATGGCACAGTCAAAGTTCAAACCTAGATATATTAAGCCTGGTGCATGCAGATGCATTTAAACCAAGATAAACTGCAAGTGTATTGGTTTCCTCATGTGTAAAGCTGGTACAATAAATAAAAAAAAGTTGAATGGGTGTGAATACTTTTGCAACAGATAAAAACGGGTTAAAATAGGAAATATAAAGACTCACTGCTTCTGTGAAGGCCTCGCTGTTCTGCTCCTCATGAGCCTCAAGAAGTTTCTGTTTAAAACAAACACATTAAAACCAGAGAAAGGAGCAGATCAAATAGAATCCTTCAGTGATTAACTCAGAGTTACCTTCAACAACTTGCATTCTCTGGAGTCTGAGAAAGCAGGGAACATCTCTTCATATTTCTCAACAGCAATCTGTTCAGGCAGATTAGATTAAATGTTTAGCCTCAGCAGCGCCATAGATAAAGCCTTGCCGAAGCTTCCAGGTGTGGACTAACCTTGGCGTTGAGCTCGTCAACAATGAAATGACACAGGGATGCTTTAAAAAAATACTCTTTGGCGCTGTACTTCAGCAGCGGGTTGTCCATGGTGTTGGCTCCAACCTTGGGAACATTCAGATCAGGTCAAATGAATCAAAACACGAGAGGTTGATGAAAACAAGTAGTTAGGGATAAGAAGTACACACCTGCTCATAGATCTCTATGGCCTTCTGGTATTGTTCCAGTTGAGCACAGTAGGCTCCCACTTTCAACAGACATTTATTTGCAGAACTAAAGTGAGAAACAGAATACACAATAAAGTCTTAATAATGTAATGTTTCAGTTGTTCACATCTCAGCTACAACATTTATTAGAGCTAAAGGGAATAGAAACATACCAGAGGAAGCTAAATAAATAAAATAAAAAACAGCTGCAATCTCCCCCTGAGCTTCAAGATGTTCAGCAGGACAGAGTTTCCCAGGCTGCTTTGTTTAACATTCCCCTTTAAAAAAATGCAGAACAGGAGCTGCTACTAAAATATGCAACAAGGGATGTTATAGCTGAAGGGATTGGCTTTGCTCATCTTTTACTGTGCTTTTCCAGGACAAAATCAGATGATGTTTTAGGATCTAAAGAGGCAGCCTAGGAACTGATGCCATCCGCAGTGAGGTTTTCAAAAATATTTTTGTGTAGACCAATGATTTTAAGATCAGTCATCCCTTTCTTTTTTTAGAAATAAATCCTCCTGTCAATAAAATATTATTTGCATAGGAAATACTTAAAGGCACACCGCAGACTTTGTGACCTAAAGAGTTGACGAATATGAGTCATTTTAAGTGATTCCTCAGGCCAATAAACGCTTGACACTCAATCCAAATGGGGCTCCCCTCTTGAAATACCACCTATGTAAGTTAGGAGAAGAAACACTGTCGTTGGCCAGGTCTTGTGACGTGGAAGAACACATTGCTTTAAGGCCAAAGGCACTTATATTGTCATGGTGCTAAGGCTTTTATTCTACTCTTTACCGCCAGACAGGCGGTAAAATCCTTTGTCTGCCTGGCTGTGTGTTTCCTGGACAGGGCCGCCTTTTACAGTTGCCTTTCATATCTCTGCTTCTGTCTCCTTGAACCCCAGTTTTCCTCGGCGGATGGCCGCTCACACCAAGCCCGGTTCTGCTGGAGGTTTCTTCCTGTTAAAAGGGAGTTTTTCCTCTCCACTGTCGCTACAATCATGCTTAGTGTGAGGGATTGCCTTTGAGTCAATGAGTCGATGCAATCAACGGGTTTTCCTTAGATAGAAAACTTTGAATCAATTTGACTGGATGATCTGATAAATTGTAAAGTTCCTTGAGATGACCTGTTGTGAATTCTTGCTATATAAATAAACTAAATTGATGCTCAATGTTTAGAATAAGCAAAATGCAGGCAGAGAAAGCTTGCAGGCTACAAACAAAAGCTAACTGAGACGCCCCTTTCGACCCAGTGGCTGTTCGGTGGAGCTCTGCCTCTGGTCCAGCCTGCCCCACCGACGTTCTACAAAGAGCAGCAACATTTCTCACGCCCTAAAGAGCTGAACCTAGACACCTAGCGCGGTCTCCAAACAAAAGACACGGGAGGCTGGCCGGCTGACTGATTGTTTACTTTTGCTACAGTATTGCCACGCTTGTAGCCAATAGAAGTGCTAGATGTAAAAGTTATGAGTCTAGCGCCCCTAGTGTCCAAAAGTTACATGTGTGCCTTTAAGTTGTTAATATTTGATCAAAATAAAAAATCTAAAATATGAGTCTGTTTTAGCTTATTTCTCATTGGCAATGTTCAATGGTGGGTATGTGAATATTTAATAGATTGACACCATACAGAACTGTATAGGGTTAGTCATTTTATATATATACACACTCACCAGTCACTTTATTAGGTACACCTGTCCAACTGCTCAATCACTTAATTCCTAAGCAGCCAATCACATGGCGGCAACTCAGTGCATTTAGGCATGTAGACATGGTCAAGACAATCTCCTGCAGTTCAACTTGAGCATCAGTATGGGGAAGAAAGGTGATTTGAGTGACTTTGAACGT